TCTACCCCGATAGCTTCATGTCTCGCACCTCCCGTCTGTAGAATTCCCTTCATATTACTTGTTTCCCTGATAGCTATAATCTCCAACTATTCGAATGTAATGTCAATCGACATCTCCAAATGTCCTTCTCTTCATCCTTTCCTCTATCACGCCTCTTTACTCTCGCTCCCGCTCTCTGTAACCCCTTGCTTGCTAGTGGCATACGGCCTTGCTTGGGGCGAAATGCTTAAAAGAATATATATAAGAATATATATATATATAGTAATGCTACAATATGGTAATCCGTATGTAATTTCCAGGAGAATATAGATCTAGGGAAACAAAAGACAGACCAAAACTGCCGCATGCATAGAATTTGATATAATCGACTTCTACCCTTCAATCTCTGAAGAATTACTAATTAATAGCATAAATTTCGCGAGAAACTACATTGATATCACGGATGATGAACTAAATATTATAATAGCACCTAGAAGATGAGTACTAATGTACAATAACTCAACTTGCATAAAAAGAAACAATGAAAACTTCGATGTTTCCATGGCGGCATTTGACTCTGCACAAATACCAGACCTTGTAGGCATATATATATTGGACACCCTAGGTAGAATTGTTAACGACAACAAATTTGACCTTTATAGAGACGATGGCTTAATGATTGTTCCAAGTAGTAATGGTCCTTTAACCTTAAAACTACACGAAAAATATTAAAAGTTTTCAGGTATTAAGACAGATATATCTTCTAACATAAAATAGCCAATATTCTTGATGTCACTCTTAACCTTTCCAACAACACCTTTAAACCTTTCCTAAAAGAGGGTAATATCCCCATCTACATTAATGTCCATTCTAACCACCCGAAGTCAATTATACCAGAAACAGTCAACACAAGAATAAACAGGTTATCCTCCAACAAAAAAAATAGTGAGAGTAAGTTTATATACAATCAAGCACTAAGAAATAGTAAGTTTAAGCAAGAGTTACACTACCAGGATGAGCCTAAGAATCTAAATTCAAAAAACTCTAAAAACAGAAAAAGGAAAGTCATATGCTTCAACTCACCTATTACAAACTTTCCAATATTAATATAGGTCGTTTCTCCTTAAAACTAATAGATAAACATTTTGATGATGGGAATTCTCTATCAAAAATTCTTAATAGAAAATCACTTAAAATTATTTACTCTTGTAGAGAAAATCATCTCAATCCACAATAGTAAGCTGTTAAATAAATTTCATAACAGTGAATAACAGATATTAACCCCACATGCAATTGCAGAAGAACAACTAAGTGTCCTGTCGGAGGTAAATGCAAGTCTAAAAAAGTGGTATATGAAGCAATGATTTTCCCAAAAGAAAATGTAGACCTAAAGAAGACCTATATTGGAATATCTGTGGGAAACTGGAAACTTATATAATCACAGACACACCTTCAGCAATAGGTCTCTCAAAAACCAAACAGCTTTATCCAGACATTATTGGATCTTATTGACAAATTCATATCCAGAGCTCAAATTCCTAAGCACTTCAGGGACCGTTGTAACCTTTATCTGCTGGAAAAAATACTTATAATAAATAGGAGAATTTACTTAACTTTCGAAATGCAAACACAAACACCGCTTTAAAAAATAAAAAAAATAGAAAAGTACCCTTTCTTCTGGATAATATAAATACTTGTCTGTACCTATATTGGTCTAATGTTGGAGTATATGTTCACAGAGAAATATTTATTGCAATCTGACTTTTATGGTTGTGATGTGCATGTATGTGTATAAGTATGTGTATATATATATTGTAATATGTATGGTTAATTGAATATGGATGTGCTTGTGGAAAAATGTGTATGTGTGAAAATATATATATATATATATATATATATATATATATATATATATATATATATATGCGGTGTTTGTGTTTGTGTATGGGCATATTTTGGGTTTCTTGATATATATAAATGTGTTTGTGAAAATATTGTGTTTAGAGAGAAATAGATGGATGTATGTGTATATATGTATACATATATGTGTGTATATTGTATATATGTGTACATGAACGGATGAAAAATGATAGGGTGATTGATCTGTAATTTGTGCTTTAATATTATATATATATATATATATATATATATATATATATATATATGTAAGGAGGTATATATGGGAATAAGCGAATATGTGGTGCTAACTGAAATTATTTTTAGTCATGCATTTATGTTTTTTTTTTTTATATGTTTTTTTTTTTTTTATTATGTTGTTTACTTTTTATACTAGTGATATGTCCATTATGATTATCCTTGTTGCAGTGTATCTATTTAGTGAAGAATACAGGGTGTCCCAAAAATGTATACACACTTAGAAAAAAATATAAACTAATATATACATTTTTGGGATATATATATATATATATATATATATATATATATATATATATATATATATGTGTGTGTGTGTGTGTGTGTGTGTGTGTGTGTGTGTGTGTGTGCATGTGCGTTTTTGATTTTGTTGGATGCTACGCGGTAATTTTTAAACGGATCTCCTTTAAATTAATGTGGAAATACGTCTTTAACTAAACTCATAAACTTAATATACACTAGGGGATTAACCCCGATCTAGCTCTACCTTTGGTTAAAGTACATTTATATCATGCTAAATATTAATAAATCCATCTAGGACATAAAAATTCAGGACTCTAAGTATTTTACCTATATAAATATATTTCTCTTTATTTAATTAATAATCATTTAATTCAAATCTCTTAGGTTTTTAACTAAAATTTCTTGGTTAATTATGCAAGAAGCTTATACTAATTTACATTAAAAAATTTTTTAAATTTTCGCTAATTTCGTAAAACCTTTTAAAAATTTTCTGAACCAGACACTTTTTAATATTATTTACTGTTGTGGAGTGTTTTCACAGTGGAGGCTTGTATTTCTAATAAGTCGTCCTAAATTAGGTCCGACGTACAAAACGTTAGGAACTTGGAAAATAAGAGTCAATGGCGCAGCAATCTAGTTGTGATGGTTGGTACTTTAAATGTCCGAATCTCGACTGACGCGCTCAACACCATTCTGCCAGACTTGCCACTGCTACTCCTACTTATTATCTATGGGAGAGTCCATTACAATAGAATAGGTACTATGGCATAACATTTACAGAATTTGTTGAATGAAATACAGGGTATTAACCCCGATCTAACTTTTCTTTTGTTTAAAGTTCTTTCATATCCCGCTAAACATTGATAAATACATCTAAGGTACTCTAGATATAAATGTGTTTCTCTGAATATAATTAATAATCATTTAATTCAAATTTCTTAGGTATTTTAATTTAAATTTCTTGGTTAATTATATAAGAAAGTTTCTGCTTATGAAAACTTTTTCGCTAATTTCGAAGTCTTTAAAATGTTCTCTTTTAATATTATTTACAAATAATTTATTGAATGAAATATGTCAGAATTGAAAATTTGGCCGTTTCAGATTCACAATGAACTAAATACACTTTAAGCCCTTTCATCATCCTCAAATGACATACTGAGGTCAATGTATCAAAATATGTCAGCACTCTCTGCCTTTCCCCCCACTCTCTAAAGAAGATAGCAATATCTCTTGTTTTTAACCTGGAATATTTTTTCCATTTCATTTGTGATATGTTTTTAGGTCTTAAGGCTTGAGAACTGGTGTTTTGTAGCGCTCTCATGAAATAAAAATTATTACTTATGGGATTTTATGTGTTTGATATTCTTTAATTAATAATAATAATGTTATAGACAAGCAACCATACGGTTGCAAGAAAGAAATACAACAACAGCAGAAATAGATTTACGTGATTTATTTCAATAGGAACGTGTGGTTTTTGGACAGCTACCTTGTGGTATAGTTCATAAACCAGCTGCCGACCTGGGTTGATCTCTCATAGTAGTTCTCGCTGGTTGGCGTGGCGCTACTACTGCTGACTGCCCGTGACAGGTCTCTTCCCTGGCCTCCTGTTGACTGCTGTTGTACTTCCCCATGTGACCCCTTTTATGGCGTTTTTTTTTATGGCTTAACAGACTCGAAAAACGACGCGAGTATAATTAGGAGGGAAGCATTTTTATTGGTCGAAAAATAGAAACACTTTAAAATATTATTTTATTTTCCGACCGGAACTCGTGCGTCGGGCTTATGCGTAGGCGACGATAATGGTCATTTTGTGACGGGGCCTTGTCCCGTTAACATCCGGCTCTCGCTTTTAAGTATGTTAGTTTATTTGCCTGCAAATCAGCCGAGATATGTCTTATTTTATTTTATAACAATAATAATAATAATAATAATAATATAATATATATATATATATATATATATATATATATATATGCGTTTTCTTTTATTTATTTGATATGTAAAAATTTAAATTGAATCTTTTAGATTCAAAGTGTGATTATAATATGTTACGATAAAAAAAAACTTTTTTTTTATTACAACTGGTCATTTTCAAATTTTGATTTATTGATATCAGCAAGATTGAAATCTTTTCATAAGATTAAAGTCAAGTTTATGACGATGAGTTCAGTTACTTCTACGACACCCTGTATTAGCTTATTTACTTTGAAATAAATAAAAAATATTTTATCAGAAATTTTAAGGTGGGGGGGGGCATCTACGCCCCTCCTGGATCCGCCCCTGTAATCTACAAAATTTGATAAGAATATTTTCCCTTATTTTGTTTGTGCGCGTATGAATGGTCCAGTAGCGCCGAATCATAGTTGATTAGTTATCAAAGGAGATAAATGATTTGAATTTTTTCTGAATAAAAAATAGTAATACACTATTATGTATGATGAAATAAAATCTTTTTTTACAAAATTACTGACCATGAAGGAAGGATCAGGTGAACTATTATCTGTCATCAGGTCAGTATATGAGACAACCAATCAGTGGCCAGGAAAAGGCAAAAGAAAAGAAAAGAAAAAAAAAAGAACATGACATTATAATTATTATTATATTTGAACTTGGAGAGTGCCATGATGGAGATAATTCAAAACATTATATTTGCTATCCCATCGTCAGTTTGGGTTGCTTTTATATGCGTTGTTGGTGCTTATATGTAAGTAAAGGAATTTATACTTGCTTCATATACAAAAAATATTTGTATATTTCATTTCAGAATGTATTTTAAAACTTTCCTTAGTTACGAAGCCCTAAGGAAAGTTAAAAAGAAAACACGGCTAAGCTCAAAGAAGATTAAGGAAAGTTTTTTTTTTATATTTGAAAATTTTGCATAAATTAAATGAAACTTAAAACTAAAAGTATGTATACTATTTTATAATATTTTTATAATTTATTTATTCAACACTTTTTCATGGTATATTTTATTTTTTAAACTGTAACCATGTGCGCAGTATTTATGGATTTTTTATTTGTTAATTCGACAGATTTTATCACTTTTTAGTTTTAAAACGTTATTTTTAGTGGATACACATATTTAAATAGACGCCCCGTTTATTTATTAAACAGTAGAGTGATTTATTTTCGTCTAACGGCTTGAATATTCAAGAAATCTTATCAAAGAAAAAATGCATCCTCCGGTAGCATATGAAACTGAGTCTCCTTAGCAGGAGAAACTGTTACTGTTTAGGAGCGTCTGCTCAAATGAGTATCCCCGTCTACTCAAATATAAGTACCCAATATATATATATAATACACACAAAAAAACGAGATTAAATTTTTAAAATCTTAGCAGAGCTTCGGATTCATTATAAAATAAAAGCTTAAATGAAGATTTGTCATTTCTAAAATACATTATTTTATAACTTTTAATATCAATTATTTTGGGGGAGGTAAAAATTTAATAATAATGTGTATGCTTATTTTATAGTTTATGTTTACTTTTTTTCACATTGTATTTTTTTTAATTTAGTGTGCGTTATACACACGCACGCACACACACACACACACACACACAAACTTCCTATTGCAAAATCTTCACCTTAAAATGTTAACTATATCTTAGTTGCTAAATTTTGTTAATTACTACAAAATGTCCGATCTGTTTTGGATGATCATTTAAGTAAAAGTTATGAAACTAAAAATAGTCATCATGCAATGACTCTCTCTGTCTCTCTCTCTGTCTCGTCTGTCTGTCTGTCTGTCTGTCTGTCTGTCTGTCTGTCTGTCTCTCTCTCTCTCTTTCTCTCTCTCTCTCTCAAATGAAATAAAGAGTAAAAACAGGAAATCTTGATGTTTCGCTATTTACGTAACTCACGCAGAAATTTTGGTAGTAAATAAAATAAATATTCTGTGTTGTAGATCCTTCCCAAATTTTCCGCGACGCTAAATATATCGAAACGAGATTTATAAAGCCTTTCCTATTTGTTATTTATTTTAGCTTCGGTTTCAACCCATATTTTCAGTACACGGTGGAAATCATCCCGTGACCGTATAAGACCACGCCCGGACTCATAACTCTCAAACGAAAATGATTTACTGTACATGTCGAAATGGCTCGCAAGACCATTGAGTACAGGCGAGTCTTCCTACACTATAGCAATGTTATTATCTGGGTGTTTAGTTTTCTGTTTTATTGTACCGAGGAAGTCCACTAACTGAAAGTTTTGCTGGGTACCATAATTGGTAGATGTGGGTGTTTCTATGCCCCCATTTGGAAAAAAAAGTGATTAGTATCCAAAGCCGATTACATATAGTTTCTTTTCTTCTTCTTCTTCTTCTTCTTCTTCTTCTTTCTTCTTCTTCAAAGGCAATCATGGCTCTCTGCAACTTCTTATCACGTGTGGCTCTTAGCATTGTTTATCCCTTTGCTAAGGCCCCACCCCGTTCCGTCACCCAGTCACACGATCTCGTCTGGTAAGTGACTCGCTGTCTTCCCCTATCTCATTTCTCTTATGCCCTGTGAGGGTTAAGTTTTCTAAGCCCTCTTTCCTCATTATGTGTTCAAGGAATTTCAGCTTTCTTTTCCTGATTCTGAGTAGAGGTGTTCTTTCTGTTGCCATTTTCTTTAAGACTTCCATGTTGCTTCCATGGAATTCTGAGTATGTTTCTGTAACACCGTATTTCCGCTACCTCTATTTTTCTCTTGATCCGCGCCGATCACTGCCATATAAGAGGCTGGATATCACATAGCAATCTAGCACTCCTTTCTTTGTTTCCAACGACTTTTTTCCGTTTCTCAGCACCATGCTTAGCTTTTGGAATGCTTTTTTCACTACTCCTATGCGTACTTCGGATCTCGGTACCAAATTCTCCCAGAGCGAGGCCTTTCTATTGCACTCCGGTTGCGTTGACCTTTGCGATCGCTGCAAATGTGGGCGACTCGGATGGGCTATTTCGCGCTCACCCAGATAAACAAACCAAAACAGATTTTTTTTGGCCTTTTTTTTTAAATTGTAAAACATTCCTTGTAAGTACCTCGGATATCTTCCTCACTTTATGAAATGTGAATAACTCGCTGACTTTTGGCAATTATTTACTTTGAGAGTTGGAGTTGTTGCGAGGCAAGCTAAACAAATTTTGATTTAAAATTTATAATGTCAAAAGAGAGCCAAAAATTTAATAAAAAAAAAAACAAACTGATTTAAAATAGATAATTTCTTGGTTTGAAGTAATATTTGCGATAAGTAACTTTACATTATTTGGGGTAAATTAACAGAAAAGATCCCTTTCCTCCTACGTACAGTCTCTTCAGGACGTTGGCGATCATGGCTCTCCACAAATTCTTGTCCTTTGTAGTTAATAATAAATTTCACTGACTCCCTGGTCTTTTAAACAGGAGTAAAGGTTTGTCCCTTGTTCCCTGTTTAGGATTTGGTTTTCGGTTCCTTCTAAAGTTTTTAATTCTCTTTTATTCCCACTAACCCTTTGCGCATTATCGCCTTGATTGGGGTGAAATGAGAATAAAATCACAACCTCAAGAAATCAATGTTGTCTATGAATTCGCTTGGGAAAAGAATACACTCACACACACACACTCACATATATGTACATACAAACACACACGCATAAACGCAGGCATACGCACATTTGAACGCACACTCTTATTCACAGATATGCCTGCACACATACATAGATATATACACATGTATACATGCAGGCACATATGCACGCATGCATACACACACAGTCACAGACACACACGTACATACATACATACATACATACATAGAGATATACTCACACATACGCACATATAGACACACACACATACAGACAGACATACGCACATGTGAACACATACACACTTATTCACAGATATGCCTACGCACGTACATGCATACATACATACATATACATGTATGCATGCAGGCACACATGCATACACACACACTCACAGACACACGCGCGCATACATACACAGAGATATACTCACATATACGCACATATAGACACACATATACATAGAGACGCATACATACGCACATGTGAACACATACACACTTATTCACAGATATGCCTACTCACGCGCATACATACTCATGTATACATATAGACACATATGCTCATATGCATATACACATATATACACACACATAAACACAGAAATGACAAGGATTTTGATAAAACAGTTGATAAAAAGGAATTATTATTTTTGTTATTTATTCATGATCAGGCTACGAAAAGTCAAGTGTTACCTTTGTGATGACTGATAACATTTGGTGACAGTACTTGTCGGTTCAGTCCCTATTTAGGGTAGTGTAAACTTAGACTCAGTAGAAACAGGGCGAGCAACAACAATCAGAGGAACAAGGACGATCTAACGTCATAAAAGAGAAAAATGTTCAGTTCAAAATACCTTTGATCAAAACAACAGACACACGAGGAAGGCACAATAAACAAAAGGTTGTGATTATAAAACAAATATGACGACATTAGACCGAATGTAAATAATGTTATCTCTTCATCCCAGAAATTGACAGAAAAGATATGATAATGAAGGCTTAATTCATTACTTGCACAAAAAAACACAGTAAATTTTTATCGGAAACACATTAACAAAGATATAGGCGATAACTGTCAGAGAAAAATTTACATGAGGACGACAAAATAATTTTATTTCTCAGGCTAACGTTTTCCAGTGACTTTCTTCTTTATGTACCGTGCTCGCTCAGGACGTAGGCGATCATGACTCTCCACAACTTCCTGTCACTTGTAGCTCTTAATAAACGTTGTCTTTCTGTTATCTCTCCTAAACCCTGTTCCGTCATCCATTTACTCAACTCCTCGACAAGGATGTTATGCATTTTCTTCTTCTGACCCTCTTGCCCTGTATAGGTCCCGGGAGTATCAGATTTTCCAAGCACTCTTCCTCATTACGTATCCCAGAAACCTTAATTGTCTCTTTCTGAGATGTTACGTGTTGTTATCCTCTGTCTCTTTTGCCCTCTATAAGTCCCGTGAGTATCAGATTTTCCAACCCCTCCTTCCTCATTATGTACCCCAAAAACCTTAACTGTCTCTTCCTGAAATGTTATGCGTTGTTTTCCTCTCACCCTCTTGCCCTCTATAGGTCCCGTGAGTATCAGATTTTCCAAGTCTCCTTTCCTCATTATTTGCCCCAGAATCCTGAACTGTCTCTTCCTGGTGTTAAGTATTAGTTTCGTTTTTGTTTCTATCGCTTCCAAATCTCAGTCGTTACTCACATGTTCTGCCCAATGTATTCTTAACGTCCTTCTGTAGAACCACATTTCTGTTGCTTCAAGTCTCCTCTTCATCTTTGAGGAGATTTCCCAGCACTCACTGCAATACAGGAGGACAGATATCATATAGCAGTTTATTACTCTTAGTCCTCTGCTTAGCTTTTGCAATGCATCTTCGCCTATCCCAATACGCCTTCAGATTATTGTCGCTCTTTCTGTCCTCAGTTAAAACTCTTCCCAGATATTTCAATTTCTGCACTTGTTTAATTTTGGCACTTCTGATTTGGCACATTTGACCCGCTAACAATTTTGATGCACTCGTATAACTCCAAAGGAATAATAAAACATAGAATTTGAACAAAGAAATAATAACAAATATACTGACAGAACATTTTATAAAAGAAAGGTTGAGAAATGAAATGTGAAAAACTCAATACAACGTTAAGTGCCTGTAGTT